AAAAAATATATATTTAATATTTAATATTTTTTTATTAATTTGATCTGTTAATTCAATTAAAATACGAAATTTAAATACTCTTAATATATAAATAATATATATAATATATTAAATATTTAAAACTTCAGTTAATTAACTAATTTTAAACCGAATTAACCAATAATTAAAGTTTAAAAAATTTCTTAACCGTTAACTAAGTGAACCAAAAATTAACCTATTGATTAACCAGAGCTCCACGCAAGCAGCAAGGTATCATGTATGGCCCAATATTTCGCATTCTAAGCAGAACACGCACCTATATTCCGGGAAAAACCAACGATTCATTGACCAGTTGAATCGAATCTCTGATAACTCCTACGGTAGCAAACTTTTTTGAAACTTATTTTAATTTTTAATTATAAATATTAAAAGTCAATTTGTAATTAGATTTAATTATTATTTTTAAATTAAGATAAAGTGTACAAATGATCGCCGGATTATTTTATTAAGTTTATATATTATTAAAAGTTATAAAATGATCATTTGACTATAAAATGTTACATTGTTGAGTCTCTCGTCTATTACAAATTATAAAATGATCACCGAATTACTCATTAAGTTCCAAACTTGTCATTTTCTATAAAAAAAATTGATGGTATTCTAAGATGTACATTAACATGTTGATTGTGATACGATAAAATCAGATCCTAAAATCACAAACGACTCTCATATCCAAGTCATCATGTTAACGTCTAGCTTAAAAAAAGACCAATTTTTTAAGAAAAATAATGAGTTTGGAACATAATGAATAGTCGGGTGAACATAATGAATAGTCGGGTGAACATAATGAATAGTCGGGTGAACATTTTGAAACTTTTAATAGTCAAGGGACTTAATAAAGTAACATTCTATAGTTAGAGGATCATTCAATAACTTTTAATAATTGAGGGTCTTAATAAAATAATATTTTATAGTCGGATAATCATTTTTGTATTTTACCCTTTAAACTAATTAGCTGAAGTTAAAATTTAATTACTAAAGTTAATAGATATGAATGAGTGTATGGCAACGTCTTCAATTCGTAAAAAGTTGATGGGCAGTATTTCATTGGTGTTGAAAATTGATAGTTTTTGGATTATACTAATATAATTTAGGGTAAAGTACATAAATGGTCCTCTGACGTAGGATATTATTTTATTGAATTCCTTGACTATTAAATGTTATAAAATGATCCCCAATTATAGGGAGTTACTTTGTTGAATCTATCGACTATTGAAAGATACAAAATGATCACTTCACTATTCATAATGTTCTAGAATATTTTCCCGTTGAGAAATTAACGGTCGTATGAGCTAGACGTTAATATCTTTACTAAGATATAATAGTCATTTGAGATTGTTAGATCAAATTTTATCATATTTCAGTCAGTAGGTTAACATACAACTTAGGTTGAAGTCAAAATTTGAACGGAAAATGACGAGTTTGGAACATAATGAGTAGTTGGGTGATAATTTTATAACTTTTAATAGTTGAGGGACTCAACAAAACAACTCCCTATAGTCAGGGACCATTTTGTAATATTTAATAGTCAAGGGACTCAATAAAGCATTATATTATAATCAACAGACCATTTGTGTACTTTACCCTATAATTTAATCTCTTTCAAAAAAGTTTAAATTAGTGAAATGTTATCTCTTAAATCAAATGCGTTATTCCTTTTACATTAATTACCAAATTTGACTCTAAATATTAATAATTTTGACAAAACCATCTTGTAGTGGGACAATTCGAATGCAAAGTCCCTTAAATCAATTTTTAAATAGTATGAGATGATTATAAAATAATATATGTTTATTATTTTATATTTGTTAATAACGTTTATAAACTCTATAGGCGTAGCTGCTCAAACATAAGACCTCAATGGAGAACAATACTCCCTTTAACTACTAAGGGCATTCAATAAGTTCAAGATTTTTTTTTTTAGTAATGTTATGAATGGAATAAGTTGAGTTGGAAAGACTATCCTCATAATGAACCTCTACAATACTCTATATGAACTAATCGATCAGATAATTAGATACAAATGATTATATCAAATACATTAATTTATATAATAACTATACTACTCGGTTATTTCCCACTTGTAATTCGAAGGATATTGAGGGCTAAACATACGCAATCTTTAAATTTTAACGTATAATATACTAACAACAATATTAATCGAATTAAACTCAATTCACACAATACATAAAATTTTAAACAAATAAAGTATATGTCATAAAAAACAACATTTAAATTTTGTGACTATCCTTCTGTAATACTACAATCTCTAAAATCAAATATAATGGCTGTCCTTTTTACCCCATATGTATAGGGTAAAGGGAGGTAAGATAGTAGGCTGCCCCTAACACCAGGTTGAGAACAACTTTCGTAGGAGACCTCCGAATTATGAAATGCCCTCCGTGGGACTCGATCCCACGACCTCAAGGTTAAGAACCTTGTGCTCTACCAACTGAGCTGGATAATCATTTCTTAAAATCAAATATAATATTTTAGGTAAAGTTTAATATATTTCACTCTATACTTATTATTAATATGTGAGAAATGATTTCATACATTAGTATTATTATATGTTTGTAAAACTTTTTCAGATAAAATAATAGAGCGACGAATATTCACGTGACATATTAAAAAAAGGTAAAAAGTTTAAAAAGAAACCGAACATGTGATAATCTCGTAATTCTATTAATGAACTAAAAAAAGTTTTTACGAGCAATGAGTAAGAAACACACCCTGAAGTCTTAACTACATAAAGAAGAAACTAATACTTTATAATTTAATGTAAGAACCGATGTTCTTTTAACAACATCTGATATGCACATGTAGTGCGATCTCAATTTCAATGTCCGGCTTACGTCAACAAAGTGTGAGAATATAATCTTTTAAGCAATGTATATTCAGCCATTGAAATTCTATAAACTTAACAAGTAGTATGTAATTATAAAAACATACTTATCCATTAAATTTATTATTTTTTAAATATAATTTAAATAATATAATATGTAATGGAATATAAAATTTAATATTAATCTGAATTAAAACGTATTTCTTGTCAACATATCATAACTTTAGTTAATAGTTACGTTTAGATTTTTTTATAAATTCTAAATCTAATCTTAATACTACTTAGAGGGGATAGGAATGGGTACTCTAGGCGAAAGGATGTGAGTTCTCCTAGTTGGTCTTAGGGTCTAGAACTCATAACCTAAGGGAATATGTAGGGATGGGCCGAGGGGTTGGGTCAATCGCTCTTAGTGAAAATTTAAAATTATCATATATTTTAAAAGTTGTGTGTATTTTCTATTAAAAATATGATTTTGCCTCCCATTGAATTTTATAAACTAGTTCCCCCTAAAATTTAGAGGTCAATCGCTCTTAGTGAAAATTTAAAATTATCATATATTTTAAAAGTTGTGTGTATTTTCTATTAAAAATATGATTTTGCCTCCCATTGAATTTTATAAACTAGTTCCCCCTAAAATTTTAGAGGTTTGCCCCCTAGTATAAATTCTTACGTTCGTCCTTATAAATATGAGAGAATAAAGATAGACAATTTAACAAATCGATTAAATGTGCTTATTCAGCTATATTTCAATTTTTTTTTTATTAATCAATTATTAATTTAACCTTACGTTGTAACTATTAATTCTACTAATGGCTTATATATATAATTTTAATGAATGAATATGCTTTAGCATAAGAAACAATGGGTAAACGTGTATACACACATTATACGCGATTTCATGTTTCATGCGAAATTTAAAATTAACTAAAAGTTCAACAAGTGTTCTCTTCGTTTCATTTTATTTCTTAATATTTTATTATAATCATACGTAATATCGTGCTAATCTTATCGAGTTTTTCTTATATTAGTTTACAATATTTTTCATATATATTTATAAAATTTCGAGTAAAAGAAGACTTCAACAATTATATTTTTAGGTTACAAGAATATAATTACGATTGAAATTATAAACAATATATAAGTAACCATTACTAAAATTAATTATTTGAAAACACAATCAACATAATCGAACTAATATATGAAATATATCTATATATGATTTACGCATGATATATAAAGTATAATTAATGAGAATCAATTTCTTATTGACTTGAACATGAAAAATAGAAGTGTTATCATCTTTTTTGTCGGTCCAATGCGGAGTAATTTCCATGTAGCATCCTTTGCATGCACCTTCTTTTACGTTTTCCCGAGTCAATGTTTTTATGTTTTTGGAATCTGCCGTAGACTTTCGTGGAAATTGATGCAAAGCAAATGGACCAAAATGATTCCGGTTTTTCTTTTATTTATTCCGTGGATTCCATGTTTTAATCCAATCAAGACCTAATCCTGAAACCCCGTTTTTAATCAAAGGGCGAAGACTCGACTCTAACAAGAGAAATAGACTATTAGACTCGACATACTGATACTATTGAGCAAAATATATAAATAAAATACAAGAAAAGACGCCACTTTAGAGTTCTGTCCGGGCCAGGGCTGCTACAACTTCAATCCTTAAAGACACCGACACGATGCTACTGCAATCGAACGCTTCATTGGCCCAACAAGACTTTTAAGTCCCTTAGTTATTTTTAATAGTATACTATGATTATAAAATAATCTGATTAATTTTTTTTAATTTATTAATAATGCACATTTTAAACACGAAAATTGTCACTCTGAGGTATTATTTCTTATGCCGAAACAACCCAAAGAAGGTGACGTCTGAATAAAGAATATAAAACATGCCCAATATGTCAAAAGGCAAAAGGAAATTGAAGGGGACAAGTGTTGGTCCGTTTGAGTAAGAACTTACACGGGATCCAACTTGTTTTATAAGCAAGCGGAAGAGATAAGATTTTGTCAAATAATTTTGCTTTCTCCTTTTCGTGCAAAAACAAATAATTGAGCCGATAGCAGACAGGATTGCAATCTCTTTCATTTGTTTGATTGATTGGATACCCGAAAATGGCCCATAATACATTGAAGGCAGACATTTACCAAAGCTGAGTCAGATTATCTGCAAGTTGAGCATGGAAACATAGACAACTTGAATTTGGAGTTTCTTTTTTGTTTGTACATATGTTTAAGGGAGAATCTGAATCAAACTGGATTGAACTCTCAGTGAGCAGCGAGGTCGATTGTGGCTTAGTTCATGGACTGTAAAAGGACGGGCCACACTTGCATTTCCAACTCTCAGGTTCATAATTTGCATATTCCGGACCCACATGGATTCGCTTGCTTATGGTAGAAGGCACTTGAACGGCTTCACAAGGGGTGCATCCATAGCATTTGTGTTCACAGTTTGGAGGACTTGACCCTATCCTCGCCTTATTCTCCCCTTCACCATTTATGGCGCCACTCCTTTCCATGCTCTGCAAAGACATTTCTGTTGAGCTCAAGGAAACTCGTAAAGCCACTGGTTTCTGGTCTGTGGTATTATAAAAAAAATGATGACATGTTGATAATAAACTAATTAGGGTAAGTGGATAGACATAATCATTGGTTTTATCTCTAGCTAACCTGGCTGATGAGCACCAAAGCCGTCATTTGGTGCTAAAGGCCTGCTCGTTGCACAACTCCATTTTACTATTTGAAGAGCCAACAGGAAACAAAACAGCCTTCCCTCCATATCTTCAAAACCCTCAAATGGTGGTGATGTCGATTGACTAATTACGATGCCAACGTGGGAGAAGTCAATGGTGGAGATGGGTATATAAAGTAGTAGAAAAACACCCCCCAAAATAAAATCCAATTTCCCAGTGTTCGAAAACCAAAAAGATTTTAAACCCTAACTCCCTCCTTATCCTGTGCACCGGGGGAGATATTGCTTCACCAATAAGTGATTCTGGTTTCTTGTCTTTCCCCTTTCTACCCTATTGCGGTCTTGCTTCTCTTCATCTCTTTCCCTTCACCTTCAAATCATTCCACTATTATAATTACTCTTTCAAGTGGTGGATTTGTCCCTCATAACAGCTGCCACTTTGGGGCCTAAGAGACCTATAAATCCAATGGCGAGTCCCATTTATGCACATCAATGACTGAAACATTCAGGACTGCAGCAATCTTTAAACGAGTTTGTTAAAAAAGAAAAGAAAAAACAATTTTTTTTCACTGGATGGTTGGTGGCCTTGATTAAATCTTGGACGTCCATTTGGACAACCATCCAAAATGGCAATTAAGATGATCTTCTGATCCCTATTTCTCTTCTTTAGATCTGCAGGTGCGCACATTAATAGAGAGTAGTAAATCCTATTAGACAAACAGTAACAGTATCACCATCTTATCTTTTTTTTTGAAGTTCTCCATTTTTCTTCTAAAGCTGGTGATATTCATATACTGTTATAATATTGAACTTTGAAATAAGGAAATCTTGACGGCACCACTCACTCGGAACTCGCTGTACTTTTCAAACTCTTCTTTAGCTGATAATCTGGTCATTAGGCTCTGCTGCTGGCTGATTTTCTGAGCTTTGTGGAGAGTTTTTTCCCTGTACAATCAAGGGCTCTGGAGGAAGGGAAATTTCGAAACATAAGTAAAAAATTATCATTCACGATCAAAGTAAGGACTGTCAAACAACCAAGGTTTGTTTTTTTAATGCAATTTTCTGTGGATTGGAGTCTTATAGTGACATGATCTTTCAATGTACTGCAAAATCCCCTGTCAGTAACTTTTTTTTCTTCTATATATACAAAAGTAAGATGATAAAAAAAAATGGGGGTAAAAGAGAACATTGCAGATTTCTCAACTATCACTGTTGAGTATAAAGACAGGCTGAGTTATGTCGAAGAAAACTTTACCATGACTGACTGTTTCTATTACTTTATCTTCTGCTAATTGCAAAAAAATAAACATGTTCAGTGTTCAGACATCAGACTGAGAATAATTTTTAGCATCACCTCGAGTGACATATGTTTATAACTTAATTGTTTCCTTGATAATAAATAAGTCATTTATCTTCCTCTAAAAAATTATAAACCTATTATTCAATTAAAATATTATTACAAATGTATCATTCATTTGTTAAAATTAAAATGTGCTCCGGTAACATAACATGAACTGATAATTTCTTTCTCAAGTTAGTACCAAGGTTGGAGAAGGTGCCTGATTTAATTACCAAATGCGTACTTAAGCCTAAAATTTTGCATATATCCATATAAGTGAATTGGTATATAGCTTAGGAATAGGTAAAAATAGTTATTTTTTTTAGCTGTAGCCTTCAACCGAATTAGTAAGCAAAGCAAGTAGTTATAGTTATGTCGTTAGTGTTCCTATTCTCATTAGCCTAAAATTAGTTCTGCTTTCTTTTGTATTTAAACCCATTTTTAGTTGAAAACAAAGGCAAGCAAAAATTAACACAGATTCATTGAGGTCCGATCTCCCCAAGCAGAATACAAGTCTTGTTGGCTGTGACTGGGACATATCATATAGGTTCGCGCATTGTTGATTCAAAAGAATGATTTTGGGACAATCAGGGTTTTAAGAATAATATATTTCGTTGTGTATTTACCCATTGTTTCAGGACAATCCAGCTCATCAGGTCTCAAAGTTGAAGTTAAATGGAAACTCACTGCATTTTGGTGAAAATTTTGTATCCATAACCTGCTTTAAAATGCCTTTCCTTATTGAAGAACGAAAGAACTCGTCAGATCAGAAACAACAGGCAGATACCAGAAACAAAGAAAAAGAACAAGGAAAAAAATATTCACCGTAACAATGAATATCAACTGCAGATAAAGAGGCAAAGAGTAATGCCCAGCACACAAATCGATCAGCGTTTAACTGCATTCATCAACCTTGGCAGAAGTGAAAGCGTTTATGAACGGCTACAAAAAAGGAATCAACATCAGAAGAAAATTAGGGTAAAAGAAGAAAGGTAATGTTGGCTATTAGATGATCTAGCCTTTAAGCCCGAAAGCCTTTTTTATATAGCTCAAATTAGTCTATCAAGTCAACACATAAAATTTGACCTGACTGAGACCATTAGGGCCTTAATTAACTGAATGACAAGATAATCAATTCAGTTTTAAGTTTTAACCATCCACTAGCTGGCGCGCACACACCATCCTTTAACGTTCCTTTTAATGGGACATTGCTATTTCATGGTAGGCAAACGAGCTTTAAGGGATTTGAAAGGACAGTAATTAGTAAGGATTCAAACCATCTTCCGTGGCCGTCAAGTCCGGAATCAAGCTGCATGCAAGCTCTTGTAAGGGTCCAAGCTCGTGTGAGAGCATAATGTCCTATTATCTTCCGAAGAACAAATTGTGCAGAAACTGAATGATCCAGCCAGGGATGCTGAGGTTTTTTAATTGACACTGCATATTTTTGCCTTTTTCCCGCAAACCCTAACTTGGGCCACCATGGTACAGCTCCCTACGTTAAATTCACACCCTCACCACTGTGCTTTCATCAGTCTTTTAAAACCACCCTCTTAGCACGGTCTGTTTCTAAAGCACTCTTCGATTTGCAATTTTTTTCTTTTCACATTTTCTTGCGAGGCAACTTATGGGGTTTGCCTCTGAATATCTTCAGATATATGGAAATTAGAAGTTGAAAAACTTGAAACTGCCCTCTCTCTTTCTCTGTCACTCTATTCCCCACTTTTGAGGGAAAAAAGAGAGAGAACTGAACAATTCTTCATCACTGATTCCGGGCTGCCATTGGCTGTAAAGATGGGGCATCATTCTTGTTGCAACAAGCAGAAGGTGAAGATAGGGCTATGGTCACCTGAGGAAGACGAGAAACTCATTAATTACGTTACAACTTATGGCCATGGTTTCTGGAGCTCTGTCCCTAGACTTGCTGGTATGGTTTTCTTCCCATCTCTTCATTTCCTTCTACAAACCCTTTCTTTTTTGTCGCCTGCAATATCCAACTACATTAATTTTAATTGATTCCTTTTCCTTGTTGTTTGTTTCATGACACAGGCCTTCAAAGATGTGGAAAGAGATGCAGATTAAGATGGATAAATTACCTCAGACCTGATTTGAAACGTGGGAGTTTCTCTCCACAAGAAGCAACTCTCATCGTTGAACTCCGCAGTATTCTAGGCAACAGGTAACTTCAACTATATAATTTTGACTGCGTATGGAAGTGGTTACAATCATCAATGCTTTTCCGTTTCATTTTTCTACTTTTTCTTTTTCGTTTGTCTTGAACAGATGGGCACAGATAGCGAAGCATTTGCCAGGGAGAACAGATAATGAGGTGAAGAACTTTTGGAATTCGAGTATCAAGAAAAGGTTTTTCTCTTATGATGTTCCAGCTTTAGACTCTCTGGTTGATGTTCACAATTCCAAACCCCCAGAGGAAGCAGCTGATTTCGTCTCTACAAATGTAAACCCTAATAATTTTATCCTTACTGATCAACGACAACACCTCTATCTTTCCCCATCAGCATCATCAGTGCTACAGAGTTTTTCTTCGAGCAATGAAAACGTTGACTTGATTAACCATCATTTCCCCTTAACCCCAATGTTCCCAACCCTTCAAAAATACAGCTTCCTTCGACCTTCATGCCCATTATTGCCCTTTGTTGCACCCCAATCCGTTCTGGATCATCACCAAGATAAAAAAACATCACGTCCCAAATTTGAGCAACGATGTAGTTCAAGACGAAAAACTTGTACACCCGACCGTCGGCGAAAATTCTTACTTGCATGGTCCATTAATGGCAACCCAAACAGCGCCCAAACTCTGTGAAACCCTTCGAGGAAGCCTCTGAAACATGCCGCTGACATCCGTTTCATTAGAAAACATAGACCCATTAGTCTCGAGGGTCTCATCGTGTTTTCGTATACCTGCCGGTTCATCATACCCACTTGGCATGCATGTGGAAACAAACCAGATGGAGTTCATCGATACCATCATCACATCAATGTCATTGTCATCATCTACTTCTTCTTCATCATCATCTTTATCAGCTTTATCCGGTGGGCTATATATCACAAACCCTACTCTTCCATCAAGCAGTTGGGACCCTTAGGGAGGACGGATTCACTATGTCTATGTTATAATGTAGGATAGTTATATATGAGAGGAAAATTTTAAAACGTAAAGGTTACTATTTCCGACATCCAGCAAGGATAATGACAGATGATGTTCCGTAAATAAATCCAGTTTATATATATATAAAAGTAAATAATTTTATTCAAAATATAAAATATCTTAAATTACAATAAATGTTTACAATCATAATCGTAAATTAAGCACATAATTAGAAAAAAATTCTATATTTATTAGAACAAAACTATTAACTTAATATCACATAAGGACCATACAAGGAAAGATTAAATCTAACCAAGAAACTCAAACAAAGATAGATACAAACAGATCTAATCGCATCGGTAAACAAACCATAAAAGGGGATTAAGCAATTGAAAGACTACCTACAAACCGTAAATAAGACTTGAGCGCCGTGAAAAGCTATCAACAAACGCAAATCGGGTATCAAATCCAATCCGACGGTACAAAGCAGGAAAGATCAACAAGATATCAGATAAGCGTCATCTTAATCAGTAGTGGTAATGTCAAATCATCCCTTAAAAAAAATGATAAATGAAAAAAGGACCAAAGAACCGAAAACATGTCAAAAAGCATAAAAAAAACGTGACATAAAGGCAGATAAAAACGTGCAACACGGGTTGACTTATTGAAAATCAAAAGACAAAAAAAATATATGATATAGAAAAGAAAAAGGGCAATAAAGAATATCGACGGTATGATACTAACATTAAAGTTAATGTCATCACCGATTAACAAAGACGAAAAAAAAAGATGAACGACACATCAATAAAAGAAAACTAATTTTTTTCCTAAGAAACTATAAGAGGTTCTTAATTTCACATGTTACTAGCTCAAATATATTTAGTTTCTCTACTTCACCCCTCTATTTTTTTATCC